CCATTTCCCCCATCCCAACACCCACCCCCCATTTCTGGAGACACCTTCCCTACCATTTCTTCCCTTTCCTAGAACCCAAAGCTGAAAGGGTTTGAGGATTCTGGGCTAGCTTGGCTTAGAGCCTGGCACATTATAAGCACAGAATTTATGTTCACTGAATGAATGAGTGGATGAATGAAGGATGGCAATTCAGTATTCCTGAGAAAAGAGTAGAGTGTTTTCAGAAAATACCTCAAAGCTAGGAACCCATTCATGCATATTGGCCAGAGCACCCCAATTTAGGAAGTCATAAGGAAAGCAGGCCCCCAGAAGCAAGAACGCACTGTCCCCAGTAGGCCCCGGACTCCCGTGACCTCCTTTGGGCCTGCTCTTCCTCTTCTTACGCCAGGTTCTTCGAGTGTGAACGCCTGTGCGACGTGGACCCGTGCTGCTCCGGCTTCGGCTTTCTAAACGTTTCCCAGTTAACAGGTAACAGTGATAACACCCCCTCACCTGCGCACAGCCCTCTGCAGCCTAGGACACGCATCACATCTATGATCTTATTGAATCTGCATCTCCTCGTGGTGGAAGGGAGGAGCGAGCCTGTCCCCGAATGGGAGGTGGGGCTTGCAGAGGGGCGGCAGCTCATGAAGGGGACATGGCTCCTGGCCTAGCACCTGGTCAACTTCACTCGGCACGTCTACCCGGCCGGACACTCACTAAGCATCTTCTCATCTTCCAAGACTCAGGTCTGGCAGTTTTGTGGGGTGAACTTTGGATCCAGTCATGTGATCTGTGTTTAAAACTTGAGTACTTGCTAGTGGTGTGACCCTGGAAAAATCAGTCTCTGAGCCTCAGTTTCCACCCCTGTAAATGGGATACAGATGCTCCCTCCTCACAGGGCTGTGTGGGGGCCAGGTGATATGGTGCAGACGTCCCCAGCACAGCCCTGGGCACGTGATGGGTGCCCCATGAGCATTAGCTGTCTTTATTCCTCTTGGACCAGAGACAGTAAGGTACCAGGTTTTTCATCAGTGGCTAAGGTCACACCTAGATTATAGCTGTGAACCCCAAATATCTACTAAAGAATGAGTTTGCAGAATTCCCCTCTTTTAGTTTAGAAACGTCTGTCTTGATTATTTTCCTGGTCCTGGTTATTATTATTTTAAACTTTATTATTTTTCTCTTTTTAAATGGAATTTATTGGGATGATATTGACCAATAAAATTATATAGGTTTCAAGAAATCCAAAGATACCTTGAAAGAAATGAAAATGAGAACACAGCAACCCCAAATCTATGGGACACAGCCAAAGCAGTTCTAAGAGGGAAATTCATAGCATTCCTGGTCCTGGTTATTTTTTGCTCCAGGAGGAGAGGTGACATGCCTAACTCTGAACAGCTTGGGACTTCAGACCTGCAGTGAGGAAAGTGGAGGGTCCTGGCGCATTTTGGACTGTGGCTCTCCCGACACCGAGGTCCGCACCTATCCCTTCGGATGGTACCAGAAGCCTGGTGAGTAATTGGCTCCGAACCGCTACGTGAACAACTTCAGTTGACTGGTTTCCAACCATATATTAGGATGATGTCATCGGGCCTGGAAGTAGATTAGTCAGGATTCACTGTGTGCAAATAACAGAAGCGGATTCTTTTTAAATTACGCAGAAAAGGAATATCTGGGGAACCTGTTCATAGACTCAGAGGAAGGTGACCCACTCAGCCTCAGCAGCGTGGGTGTGCTGAGGAGGAATGAATGGGCAGCCTCCGGTGTGTCACTGTCATCCTTCTTCTCCTCCAGAGGCTCTGGTGGCTGCATTCAATCTTTAGATTCAAGGGAGAGTTTGTCCCATCTTGACTGTGAGCCCGCCCACGGGGGCAGGGCAGCCTGAGTGACAGGCCAGGGAGGCTGTATGCACCGGCAGGGAGGAGGTTCCTCAGAGGACAGTTAAGGCGCTGTTACTGGACAGAGGAAGACAACAGGTGTGCCCTCTACCAGGTTCCCTTGACTTTCTCCTCGTGTCAATTAGGAAAAGGTAACCCCACATCTCTCCTCCCACACCCCTTCCCATCTCCGCATCCCACCACGTGCTGGGAAGTGTCCTTGTCCATCCTTATATTGCTCAGGGACCAGCTGGGTACAAAGGCGCGTAAGCCATAGTTCCATTTGTTCAGTAATGTTCTGGGCCTCAGAGAGGTCCTCATGGGCAAAGGCTACACAACCTCGGTCCCTGAGCCGTGTCCACAGGACAGAGGTGGATGCTGAGCCGGGCAGACTCCAGGAGGGAGGCCCACGCCTGCAGCAGGGAGCTCTGGGAGGGCCAGCGCCTGCGGGCTGTGCTTTCTGACTTTGCTGACACAGTGCACACAAGTTCCACATGGCTTAGCTGAGAACCCAGAGCCCAGATGAGCCATTGTGAATGCAAATGAGGCTGCTTGCAGCCCCTTCCTGGCAGTGGTACCCAGAGAGGAAGTATTCTTCACATCTAGGTGGGAGGCCAGGGCATGAGGGCAGCTCTGTGGTCAAGCAGTGCCCCAGAGACTCAGTGTTCCTGGAAGGGGAAGGGCCCTGCGGCCTGGGTACCCTCTGCTCTTTGAAGAAACCGGGGCTGACCATCCTCTCCAGCTGTGTGAGGCCTGCGAGTGGGGCAGGGCCATTGGTTGGTTTACAGAGTCAAATGTGGCTTCTAGAAAAACAGTGGGAGCTTCACAGTGTCTCTCCTTCTGCCGAGCAAATGCGGGTGGGCCCTGAAGCAATTCCAGATGTGGGAGCATCACCCGGAGAGGGCGTGACCAGCTCTTCTAGCGAGGTCTGTGCGCCCCACATAGGAGCTGCCGCATGGAGGCAGTTTCTGTACAAGCTGTTCTTCACGGTCATTCACATCCCAGCAAAGCACTCACCAAGCACAGCGTTGGCTCCAGGCACTAGCCAGTGATGGCGAACCTATGACACGCGTGTCAGAGGTGACATGCAAACTCATTTTTTTGGTTGATTTTTCCTTGTTAAATGGCATTTAAATATATAAAATAAGTTTCAAAAATACAAGTCTTTGTTTTACTATGGCTGCAAATATCAAAAATTTTTTATATGTGACACGGCACCAGAGTTAAGTTAGGGTTTTTCAAAATGCTGACACGCTGAGCTCAAAAGGTTCGCCATCACTGCCCTAGGCTAACATTTTGCAGAAAGCATCTTATTTAGCCCCAAACAACCCCATGAGGTAGCACCTGTTGTTACCCCCCTGCCCCCCATTCAGTGCTGCGCTGGCAAATATTTTATAACCAGAGAAGATGGAGGGGCGCGCTGGTTTCCAGCCGTTGCCATTTGCCGTGGTGTAAATACTCTCACTGTGGCCAGTTTCAAATACCAACGTGATGTCCTGGAAGGCAGAGTTGGGAAGAAGCAGAAAGGTTAGCAGTCATTTGTTTAACAAATGTGAGTTAGCCGAGCGAATGGCTCAAGGTTACACAGTGAGGGGCACAGTAGGAGGGCCCCATGGTGAGGGGCACAGTAAGAGGGCCCCACAGTGAGGTACAGAGTAGGAGGGTCCCACAGTGAGGGGGCACAGTAGGAGGGCCCCACCAGTGAGGGGCCCACAGTGAGGGGGCACAGTAGGAGGCCCCACAGTGAGGGACACAGTAGGAGGGCCCCACAGTGAGGGGGCACAGTAGGAGGCCCCACAGTGAGGGGGCACAGTAGGAGGGCCCCACAGTGAGGGACACAGTAGGAGGCCCCACAGTGAGGGGGCACAGTAGGAGGGTCCCCAGGGCAGTGCCAGTCCTCCCAGGGACCGAGGGTGTTGAGGGTTTCAGGGTTGCAGGGCCCCAGGGAAGCTGAGAACCCTCACAGCTCAGCTGTTCCTGTGCAGTGAAGGAGCCCGCACCCTGCCCCCCGACCCCCCACCCCCCTGGAGGGCAGGCAGCACCCTCTTGTGAAACGCGGATGTTGGGCAGAAAGAGTAACAGCAGCAGCAGAGCTAGGAGACCAGTTCCTGCTGGTGGGAGCTGCATGGTGTCCTCATGGTTGTGTCGTTTCCAGCATCTTATTGATGTGGCCTGGATGTTCATTAGCAAACCAAGTGTACTTTGAATTGCAAGTTAATTTCCAAGAGCACAGTTACTGGATCTGAGACAGGACATTTCTATTTCTTTAAATTTATCTTTATTGTTGAGAATATGACAGATGTCTCCGTTCCCTCCCCGATTACCCACCCCATTCTGCTCCCACCCCCTCTCCAGGCCTTCACTCCACTCTTGTCTGTGACCACGGGTGATGCATGCATATAAATTCTCCGTGCGGCGTGTCAGTGCCCCTCAGAGGGTCAGATTGCTCCCTGAAGACGGGCTGGTGCTCAGGGCCTTTATTCTGAGCCACTTGCTCCCAGGGGGCAGACATCTACACGGACGAGCAGGGTGCCAGCTGGCCAGCGGGTGTAGCGGCCGGGCACGGCGGCCGGTTGGCAGCATCTGAGTGTTGTCTGAAAGCGCACAGAATATGGGTGGCGGGGCCTCAGTCAGTGGTCCTCAAAGTGTGTCCCAGGGCAGCAGGGTCAGCCTGTCCTGGGATCTCAGGCGCCGCTGCAGGGGCACAGGGTGTGCAGGAGAGGCGACCCTCTGGTGTTTCCAGCCCCTGAGAGGTGGTGGTCCCTTCGGCCTCCCCGAGCCCTCCTGACTGACGCAGGGTGGTGCTGGGAGTCGCACATGCTCTCTGCCTGCCAAGCCCAATTTTGCCACCACCCAATTGTCCCTCCAGTAATGCCCTCGGAGCTCAGGGACCCCCAGGGGAGGAAGCGCTAACAGGCTGCCTTCTTCTCCTTTGCAGTGGCTGAAAATGGTGCTCCCGGCTTCTGCCCTTCGGTGGCTCTGCCTTCCCTCCCGGAGAAAGGTGAGCTGCTTGTCAATGTCTCTGATGTCGGTGCCCCCTCCTCTTCCTCCTCTTCCTGCTTCCTTTTGTCCATAGCCTGCCGCTCGCTGGACCCTCTCACACCCATCCATTCCAGGTCCTACCCACTGCCCGCGTGCAGAGGCAGGACAGAGGCCCGCCCGTTTCACAGAGGAGGAAACTGACTCACAGCGATGACATGACTTGGTCCAAATACCAGCTAACCGGAACAGAGTGTGACTCAAGCCCTGTTCTCTGGGGCGCGTTTCACCCCATTAAGGAAAGGCTAGGCCTGCGGAGTCCTGGGGCGATGCCAACTGTGGTGGCACTAGTAGCCAAGCAGTGAGGAACTCAGCTAGCTCCGCACTCGTGCAGAGGAGTTCGGGCTCCCCGCCATCAGCACACTGGGTGGCACTGTGGCATCTGAGGCGGGCACCGGCCCGGAGCCCAGGAGCAGCCCAGACTGAGGCCACTTGGGTCCAAGGCGGCAGGAAGCAGGGGGAGGGGCTGCTCTGGACTCTGGACGGGGTGCAGTGGGAGGGGGCAGGCCAGCGTGGGCCTCCTGCACGTCCCTTCCCTGTGTCCCACGGTCAGAAAATGAGAGGCTCTGGGAGCCCCTGAGAGTTAATTCCTGCCCTGTGACCTGACGTCTGAGGGGCTCTAGACGCCTGTCATTACCGCCTGGCGGAGAGGCAGAATATAGCTCCCGTAGGAGGCAGCCACTTACGGTCAAGGCTGTGGCCGAAAGTGTAAACGGTCCCATGATGTCAGGTTCCTCCTCTCCGTGGAAATTGCTAACTTTGAAGGTCATTTTTTTCCTGCACACTTTATTTTTAAAAAAAATTTTAAATGTATCTTTTATTGATTTCAGAGAGGAAGCGAGGGGCGGGGTGGGGGGAGACATAGAAACATCAACGAGAAGAGAGAATCATGGATCAGCTGCCTCCTGCATGCCCCCCACTGAGGATCGAGCCCAAAACCCGGGCATGTGCCCTTGACCGGGATTGAACCCGGGACCCTTCAATCTTCAGGCTGACGCTCTATCCACTGAGCCATACCAGCTAGGACTTTCCTGCACATTTCATAGAGAATGTCAGAGTCTGAGCAGAGTATGGCTTCCGGTACCTGAGGCACTGGGAGGTGGGCATCACTGCTGGCCAGCCAGGAATGGCAGGGGTGGGCTTAGGGAAGGGAGGACATACTAAGGCCAAACACATGTCCCAGCCAGACTGTGGTCAGAATTGATTTTGAGTTTTATCAAGGTAAGATACGGACATCTGAAATCATCTAAGAGACCCCAAGGTTTATGGTGGTTGTTTTTTTTAAATCAATGTGTTCCCCATCTCACCTCTACCCACTTGCCCTTGGCACTGCCCGCGGGAGGCCACCACCTTCACTGTGTTTAGCTGTGTCTCTCACTCTGGCCTCTACATTTCTAAACAACAAGCGACTCTTGTGGTGCCGTGATGGTTCAGTTTGGGAGGTAGCTGCTGAGTCCAGGCCTTGATAAACAAGCCCCCAGGGCTCTCTTTTGTCACCTTTTTCTGGTTTGCCTCCTTCATTCTCAAAGCCTCGTCATATCGAGATTTGGGGCGGAAACAAGTGTATTTGGCCATGACGGCCATGTGAACGAGGTTTCCTGGGAGCCTCAGTGTGTAATACAATCTCCTGGTGTCACCAGCACCTGCGTGGGGCCTGAGCTGGCCGTCCTCTGCCACCCCCAGATGCCACCCCTGCCTTCCAGGGCCCTGCTGCCTCCTGGGCTGCCCCGGGGGTCCGTGGAGGAAATCCCAGGGGGTCCATGGAGGACATGGTCATGTCCATACCCCACCCACCTCAGTACCTGGAGAGTTAGTTGCACCACGCTGCCGTGTCCGTCAGCACGCCTTCCCTCCTTTTCTTCATCTCAACATGTGTTGAAACCCCTTCGCTGCTGTTTGCTCATTTCCATGGTCTCCCTTTGTTAGCTTTGTGGGTTTAGATTTTCCATTCATTACTCCATTTTTAGGGGTTTGTGGAGGGAGAGAAGAGGTATGTGTAGCGTTTAATGAAAAGCAATAATGTATTATTTTTTCGGAATCTTTCAACCTCTAATGCAAACTGCATGTTGTCCTCAGCGCCGTGCTAAGCAGTTGCTCCTCACACAAACCTCAGGAGATGGGTCCTCACTTAATACTTACGGCTCATGGGAGGCTGGAACCGTGCAGACAGGGTGCAGGGCAGTCTCGGTGAGGAGGTGACTCCGTGACAGTGTCTTTCCAGGCTCCCAGGCTCTCTGTTTGGTCTGAAGGCGTTGGGACTTTTTTGTTTTCACCTAATATTGCATTATGTGTATATTTCCAGATTGTTATACAGGGTGGGGCCAAAGTAGGTTTATAGTTGTTTATATGGAAAATGATAGAATAATTAATAGATAATAATACAAGGATAAACTGTGTTTTGCATACTCACCGCTGGGAACCTACTTTTGCCCACCCTGTCTATCTCTCTAAATCATGTGTGCACGAGTTTATTCATTCATTCATTCATTCATTCATTCATTCATCTGTGTCCTACTGTCACGATGCTCCCAACCTGATGATGAAAAGCGGGTGAGGACAGGACGGCATTATCAGTGACAGCTGTCCTGTTACCCCACCAGGTGGATCCCCTGCCGTTCACCAGCTCCCCCGTTTTGGACATTTGGTTGTTATGGCTCGTTATGAGAATACTACAACAAAAACCTCCGTACAGGGAGCTTTTGCCAACAAACAGATCATTTCCTCCAACGTGAAATGATAGTGTTTGAGAAATTTAGGTTTTATGAGTCTAGACTTATATTGCCAAAGTAGTCTCAGGTAGTTCTTCCTAGCGTTTTTTTCCCCCCACCACATTCTTGGAATCACTTAAAAATATTACTCATTAAAATTAGAGGTGAAGAGGGCTCCAATATCTAATTGCCGGATGCAAACTGTTAGGCACGAACCAACCACAGCGTGAATAGCTGGGAGTGACTGTACGTGCCTCTACCCTGGATTTTGCTAAACATTTGTATTGCTGAGATGTGAGTTACCAAGAAAAGAAAAGGGGAAGATGGAGTGTAGCCCGTCTCCCTTCACACCCACAATCTGTGGCTCTGAGTAGCTCTTTCGGAGGCAGAACGGGTGGGCACGGTCTTTTTAAAGGCGCCTCTGACAAGTGTGATCTGCAAGCAGGAGAGAGAGGGAGCTGGCGTCCCATCTGTGCTTAGCTTCCAAATTAGAACTGGGTGTCTGAGCGTGAGCCTTTGTTTCGGATCAGAGGGAGGGCCTAATGATGCCTTAGGGTATGGGCATGCCAACGTGATTCTGACATGTGACGTGAGTGTGTGTGTGTGTGTGTGTGTGTGTGTGTCCGCGCGCACTATGCATATACAGAATGCTCAGCCCTATACAGTTTCTATTCAGGGAGCAAAGGAATATTCATTGCATACCAACCATTTCAAAATCATTTCCCGCTCAGAAGACAGTCTGATGGTCGTAAGAGCCACTTCTCAGATAAGGAAACGGAGGCTCGGCCAGGTTACATGGCCACGCTGGGGTTTGAACCCATGTGTCGTTGCGGCCCCTCAGAGTTCCTAAGGCTCCTTGGTTTGAGCTTCTGGAAAGGGTGAGCGAGGTGGACAGTCCGGTCCTGGCCTTGTCTGGAGGCCTAATCTCTGGGCCTGTTTCTTGTAGGAGCCAGTGTATCGGCCGCCCCTTCCAAGTCTAGCGTGAACGGGGCATCTGAGGCTCTGAGGGGCGGAGGGGATGGCGTGGAGGGGGAGGGACTTCCTACCTGGGTACAAACACGCGCCAGAAATGACTCTGAGCACTTCCCTGGCTGCTCCAGAGGAGGCTCCCGGCCCCTCGGCTGGGCTGCCGGCGGCAGGAGTTTGTCCAGTGGACACGTTTCAGCAAGCGTTTCGGAGGACAGTGGTTTGTCCATGCGGGCCCCGGGGCGTGACGTCAGGGTTGGGAGTTCGGTGTGGCAGACACGGGGCCATAGTGGGACCCGGCAGAAGATGCGCAGCAGAAAAGCCCTGAGTTTGGAACTTGAGCTTGGCAAGATCTCTTGGGGTGGGTGAGTGAGCAGGAGAGTGGCAGCGAGCTCCCGGGCGGGCGAGAATGGAAAAGTATTAAGGCCGAAGAGGTCATCTTTCACTTTGATTGAGTCCAGGTCAGTGAATGTGCACACACCAGCCACGTTGGGATAAGCCTCCTAAACCCTCACTTACGTCACAGGAGACGTGCGGCGCTGGGGTTGGAGGCCTTAATGGCAAAGATAGGAGCCCACGGGTCAGGGAGAGGCACAGGAAGGTAGGATTCAGGAAGCTGAGCCACTTACACTGCCGTGAGCGACTCGCAGGCTGTCGTGGGGTGGAGGGAGGCCCGCCCCCGGATTCACCACAGCAGGCAGGGAGGGACCACGTCATGCCATGCTGCGACATCCGGACTAGCATGCATTTGCCAGATGGCCACGAGGGGACAGGGGGCATCCTGGGCGGGGGGTGGGGAGCATGAACGGAAGCCCACGGCATGCATTGGCGTAGCACATGGAGGGGAGACAGTGGCTCAGGACCGGGGGGCAGGAGGGGGGCTGGATGGGGGCCAGGGCCAGACGAGCACGTGCGTGGGGTACCACACATCCTCCAAGGGCTGTAAGCAGCTGCCCAGTGAGCTTTACAACGGTGTGAAAGCTCTTCCCTGGGGCTGAGAAGGGGATGCCTGGTGGATGGACAAGCTGGATTTTGAGAAAATGAGGTCAATGATGGCATCTGTGTATAGAGTATCCTTTTACTCTTTTCAGGGAAAATTGCACATTTTTTTTAAAGACTCAGAATAGTAAAATTGTTATTTTTTCTGATGAGAAAAAAGTGCACTGAGGTTTAAAAGACCCACAGCCACCCCTCGAGAGGGCGCTCTGGGTGGCACAGGCTGCCTCGTGGGCACTGAGGGTGGGCACTGCTCCGTCTCCTGCCCGCCCAGGCAGGGTGTCTTCCAAGG